TACTATACTAGTATTATTCCATAATACTAGTATACATCTTTCTGTATCAATTAATCTATTACCTATGATATAATTTCTGATTAATCTACTATGGTTGTTCCATATTTTTGTTGTTGTTGTTGTTTCCTGTTAAGGCATATGTGCTCAGCAGAGAGAGAAAAAGAGAAAGTGAGAAATCACCCCCCAAGAGGGATGGCCATGCTTCAATCTCTTCTTTTCCAATCTCCTCTGAGTATTTTGGTCATGCACGCACATGAGCCTGGTGTGATTTTCAAGTTACTGGATCCATGACTGAAACCAGAGAGTTGGTTTATCATTATTTTTAATTTGACCAGAGACAGATAGAGAGGAAAAGTAATAAAGCAAGCTGCCAGGTCTGGGACTCAAACTCCTAAAATTGTGCCGTCAATTATGTGGGATCCAGTACCTCAACCCCCAAGCCACTCTGGCCCAGTTCCATAATTTTTAAATCTGTCCTTTATTGCTAGACATTTAGGTTGTTTCTAATCTTTCAATATTATCAACAATATTGCAATAAACATCCTTTTAAGTAAATACATCTTTTTATACAGCCCAATTTTCTCTTTAGGGAAATAGTTCTCAATCTTCCTGAACATTAGAATCACTTGGAGAGCTTTTAAACGCTCATGCCAGCTCAGATGAAATAAATGGGATAATCTGGAGGCAAGGCACAAGATGGTTCTAATGTGCAATGAACGCTAAGAAGCACTGGTTTAGTATAAAGTCTTCTAAATCCTCTCCATTCAAATTGTGATCCACAGGCCAAGTAGCAGCAGTACCACCCAGGAACTTATTAGGAATGCAGAAACTTGAGACCCCTACTCAACCAGAATCTATATTTTAACAAAAGCTCCAAGAGATTCATACATATAAAATAAACTTGTGAAGTATTGGTCTCAGTAGAAGTTCTGGATTGGGGCTGGCAGATGATGCAGTACTTAAATCACTGGGCTCTCACATGGTTAACCATAGTTTGAGTTCTTGACCTGACAGCTATAGCTTTCTCACTTTCCTACCCTCTTTCTCTCTGTCTCTATCTGGTCAAATTAAATAATAATAATAATAATAATAAAATTAAAACAATTCATTTAAAAAATTTTAAAAGGTTCTAGATCAAAAACATTCATTTAAAATATTTATGGACAAACATCCTTTCAGATAAGTGGTACCAATTTATACTTCCAACACAGTGAATAAAGATGTCTGTTCTCTGTACTCTACCCAACCATAGATATTACCAATATTCTTCTGCTTTGCAGTCAGTTAGGTGAAAAACAATATCCTGGGGGGGGGGGAGTATTATGGTTTTTGTTTGCTTTTTTGTCAAAGGGCACATGTGCATGCCAGAGAAAGATAGAAGAGACAGAGAGAAGAAAGAAAACATCCCCTCATTGGGGTCTGATCATGCTGCAATCCCTTTCCCCTCTTTCTCCATCTTGTTGGGATTATGGGCACACACACATATGTGCCCTGAGGGCTTTTCAAGCTGCCAGGGGCTAAGATTCAAACCTTAGTCAACTGTACAGGATCTAGCTCCCTTAATCAATCACTAAGCAATGGGGTTGGTCTAGTCCTTACATTTTTATGTATGTTGGTTTTATCTCATCAATTAAAATAAGTTTTTTGAGAGGAGGACTGTGAATTGCAAGTTTCTGTATCCCCCAAAATTTCTTACACATGGGATTATTTGTAAACTATCGGGTTGTTGGAAAAGTCATGATGCGTTTTTGCATAGAAAAACACAGAAAAATATGCACGACTTTTCTGACAACTGAATAACTTATTTTCCGGTGATTTTCCTCTGAATACAAGGGCAAGCAACTGTTTGCTTGCTGTAAAATGATCAAACAGATTTGTACCTTTCCATTTTATCTGTGTAAGGTAAAATTTCTGGGAGCTAAGAAGTATGAATATGATCATCCACAATAGAAAGTATTCAGTTTTCACCGACAACAGACTTGACACTCACAAGAAAGAATACAATGCAGGACCAGCAGTTAGAGTAATGGCTATGTCGCTGGACTCCCATGTAGTCGACCGCGGTCCGTGTCCTGGACCCAGTGGCTTAAAACTCACGCTGGGCACATGTGCATGCGTGCCCAAGATCCCAAGAGGAGAATGGAGAAGGGATTGTGGCGTAGCTGTCCCCCCTGGGGGGTGATTTCTCACTTTCTGTCTCTCTGTCTCTCTCTGTCTTTCTGGCGAGCGCACGCGCCCTATAGCAACAAACAAACAAACAAACAAAACAAAACAAACAAACAAACAAAAAACTCAAAAAAAAAAAAAAAAAAGAAGGTTTTCAGGACCAGCATATGGAATAATGGTTACATTGCTGAGCTCCCACATGGTTGACTGTGGTTCAAGTCCTGGAACCAGTGGCTTGAAACTCAGGAGCGTGTGCATGCATGCCCAAAATCCCAAGAGGAAAATGAAGGAGAAGCGATTGAGGGGTGGCCACATCCACCGGGGGGGTGATTTCTCCCTTTCTATCTCTGTTTCTCTGACAAGTGCACGCAACCTATAGCACAAATCTCTCTTTTAAAAAAAAATGTTCTTATAACCTTGAGGCTCTAGCCAGCTAGAGGCATGGTGGCTAATGCAGTTGGATCCCACATGGCTGACTGCGCAGTTCAAGTTGATACCTAAAGCCTGAAAAACACACCAAGTGCATGTGCTCAAAATCCCAAGAGGAAAATGAAGGAAAAGGGATTGAGGCATGGCCATTGTCCCAGCGAGTGCACATACCCTATAGCAAACAAACAAACAAACAAATCCAGGCTACATACACATATGCATGTGGCCCACCATCACACCACACAAAAAAGTGAATTAGAGAAAAAGTGCTCTTCATCTTACTATACTTTCACAATGTAAGGTGCATGATCCAAAATATTCAGGTATGATGTCTGTTCAACATAAAGAGTTCAAAATAAAAAATATCCTAGTTGGGGACCAGCAGTTAGCGTAATGGCTATGTCGCTGGACTCCCACATAGTCGACTGCAGTTCAAGTCCCGGACCCGGTGGCTTAAACTCATGCTGGGCGCGTGTGCGTGTGTGCCCAAGATCCCAAGAGGAGAATGGAGGAGAAGGGATTGTGGTGTGGCCATCCCCCCTGGGGGGTGATTTCTCGCTTTCTATCTCTGTCTCTCTCTGTCTGTCTGGCACCCTATAGCAAACTAAATAAATAAATAAAAAATAAAAAACAACCTCTCCAAAAAAAAAAAATCCTAGTTGTATGTCCCTAGTCAACATACACCAAATATCAGTACTCTATGGCAGAAACTGAAAGACTGGGAAGATATAAAAGCATGGAGGACAACTGTGGCTACTGTAGACAGTGTGGGAGGAGGGTGGAAAAATGGGAAGGGTGAGAGGAAGGGAATTAAGAGGAAAAAGAGGGACCAGCAGTTGGAGTAATGGCTATGTTGCTGGACTCCCATGTAGTCGACCGCGGTTCAAGTGTTGGACCCAGTAGTTTAAACTCACACCAGGTGCGTATGCGTGTGTGCCCAAGATCCCAAGAGGAGAATGGAGGAAAAGGGATTGCGCTGTGGCCATCCCCCCTGGGGGGTGATTTCTCACTTTCTGTCTGTCTCTGTCTTTCTGGCAAGTGCACACACCCTATAGCAAAAACCTCTTTAAAAAAAAAAAAAAAAAAAGAGAGGTAAAAGAAGCAAAACATTATTTAAGAAACACAAAAAAAATTATAAAAAATAAAGAAAAACAGATGAAGAAGTTCTAGAGATTCAATGTAAATAATTGTGCCTACAGATAAAATACTGTATTATACATTTAAAAACCTGTTAAGAGGGTAAATCCATGTTAAGTGTTATTACTGTAATAAAATAAAATTTTATGGGGTCAGTAGGTGGCATAGTGCTTGAGGTACTGTACTCCCACGTGGCAGATCAGAGTTCAAGTCCCAGATCTATTGGTGTGCTTTCTCACTTTCTCTCTCTCTCTGTCTCTTTAGTGTGTGCACATACTCTACGGCAAATTAAAATAATAACAGACCCAGCAGGTCGTGTGGTAGTTGGAGCATTGGGCACCCACATGGCCGATCATGGTTCAATCCCCGGACCTGATGCTTTGCTTTCTCACTTACCCTTTCTCTCTCAAATTTTTAAAATAATAAATTAAATAATAATAATAATAAATAAAACAAATAATTCTTAAATAATACTGATGATACATAAAAAGAAAAAAATCCTAGAATTGTACTTATACTTTCATTGAGTAAGCAGATTTTAGCTGGAATAGAATATTACAATCCTGGTCAAGTGAACAAGTAGTATTTCTGCCATAAAACAGGGATGACTGAGGGCCAGCAGGTAGTGTGGTGGTTAAGGTGCTGAACTCCCACAGGGCTGACCATGGTTTGAGTCCAGGATCTGGGGGGTTGCTTTCTCACTTTCCCTCTCTCTCTCTCTGATGAGCACATGTGCCCTGTAGCAAATTGAAAAATAATAACAATAAATGAAATGAAATAAATATTTTTTAAATGGTAACCAGTACATCAATATATTTATGATTGGTGGTAGCAGGAGCTACCTATTTGTCAAACTTTATAACAGAAATTGAAACCTCGGACCCAGCAGGTGGCCTGGTGGTTAAGGCACTGGACTCCCACATGGTCGACCACAGTTCAAGTCCCAGGTCTGGCAGCTTGCTTTCTCACTTCTCCTCTCTCTCTTTCTGTTTCTCTGTGGTGATCACATGTGCCTTATAGCAAACTTGAAAATAATAATAATAATAATAAATTAAAATAAAATAAGAAATAATAATAAATAAAATAAAAAGAAATTAAACCTCTTTGGGAAGCTGTTCCTCTCAACTGACTCCCAATAACTTGAAAACACAGAAATATATCTTACACAGCAGAAATCTAACTGTTAAAAAATAAACATTTTATTATTTAACATGAATTAAAGTTCTTGAAAATTTACATCAACAAAACCTAAAACCATTCTAGTCACAGTAAGAAATTTTTATAATCAAAACTACTTTTCACTTTTCAGAAATCTGACTGAAAACACATAGTTAAATATGCTGCCAACAGACAGGGTCAAACTATCTCCTGTGGCAGCTGAACAAAACGTGAGTTATGGAACTGGAACTGCTGCCTGAAGGAGATGAGAGGGCAACTGAAGGAGATGAGAGAAGAAAGGCCCTCACAACCCGGATGTTCGAACTCAGGCCAAGGGTCCATCTATGATCCAGTTCCAGTCAGTCTGACAAGTCACTCTGATCCAACACAATTATCCTGTGCCCGTGTTTGTTAAGAAACAAAAAAAGGGAGTTTTGAGTTAGTGTGTATGTTTTTAAAAGACACAAACAACATCATCTTATTCAATGGAATCCAAGGGAAACAGAGTTTGGTCTTTATAATCAAAGAAGATCATGATCCATAGTATCAGGAAAATGCAAGATGACCACAAAGCAACTGAGCAACATCTTCTGTATTCCTTATATATCAAAACTCTTCTCGTGCTGACTCTACCACTTACTTAATCAAAGTTGGCATTAATATCACCTATGATAACAATAAGCATTGACATGCTAAATCTGAAACAACTTTTTCTGAATTCAAGTCTTGGTCGCTCATATTTATTTAGACACTGGTAAATGTTTTAAGTTTGTTTCTGTTGTCTATAGTAAACTTTGACGTACAAACAATATCCCATTACCTGGATGGTTCAGACCAACCCAGTCGCTTCCAAAAACAGGGTTTTAGTTCATCTGGGTAAAAAATGAGAGAAAGAATAAAACAGCCTTATAATTATTATTTTGCTATAGGGTACATGCACTTGCCAGAGAGAGATGAGAGGCAGGAAAGTGAGAAATCAAACCCCAGAGGTGATGGCCATGCCACAGTCCCTTCTCCTCCACTTTCCTCTCAGGATTTTAGGCACACATATCCAGAGTGATTTTTAAGCTGCCAGGTCTGGGACTCGAACCACAAAGTTGGCTCTGTGGGATCCAGCATGTTAATCACCACATCACTTGTTGACTCACCTGTTTATTTTGTAGGTCAAGGGGTACCAGAATTCAGAATTCACATTTAGGGGCCAGCAGGTGGCAATGTGGATAAGGTGCTGGACTCTCACATGACCAACTGAGGTTTGAGTCCTGGACCTGACGGCTTGCTTTTTCACTTTCTCTCTCTCTCTCTCTCTCTCTCTGGTGAGCACATATGCCCTATAGCACATTTAAAATAATAACAATAAAAAGTAAATAAATCATTCTTTTAAAAAAAAAAAACCTCATTTTTTTTTTAAAAGCAAATTCATGTTTGGTAGACTTTTACCTACAACCATTTGTTTTACTTTACAAAAGTAAAATCTTTTCTTTTTTAATAATTATTTTATTTATCATTATAATTTTTAAATTGACCAGAAAAGACACAGAGAGAGAAAAAAAGCCACCAGGTCCAGGATTTGAACCATGGTCAGCCATGTGGGAGTCCAACACCTTTAACCACCATGCCACCTGCTGACCCCCAAAAGTAAAATATTTCTAAAAACATATTAATGGATTTCTCCTGCTAACTAACATTCCACAAGTCTCTGCCCTAGCAATGGACACTAATGACACTAATTCACAAGGTCTCTGCATTAATTTCTCAGTGAATTTAGTACTAGTTAAGTGCCCGTATACTCTAGACCCTGTTACCAGTTCGGGTTCTGGAGCAAAAAGAGTGTACCCATGACTAGGTTCAAACAGACTCCATAATGGAGTAACGATATACAGAGTATGTACAGGTAGATAGGCCCAGGCATCCAATGACTAGCAGCAGTAGGAAGCCTAAGTCTGAAGGGACTGAGGGGTGAGAACTGGGGCACAGTACTGGGAGCCTGTGAGAGCTGGAACTGCGAAGGACTAGCTGCTTATGGAAGCTCTGCTTGTGGAGGGACAGCACTTCTTCCAGATACAAGGTGCCAAAGTAGGCAAGGAGGGGAAGTAATACCCCAACTTCTCTCCTACCCTCTGACATTCTACCAGGGTCTCCTACTGGTATAGGATGCCCAGGTGATGCTGTCTACTAGGGTCAGCATCTTGTGGCACAAAAGCAGGGCAGAAAGAGAAGGGACTGAGGAAGGGGTGTAAAGGATACCAGATTACCTAAAATAGGGATGCCCAAGTCCTTCCCCCATATTAAGAACCAGGCCACATAGTGGGAGGTGAGTGAGTGAAGCTTCATATGTATTTACAGCTGCTCCCCATTGCTTGCCTAACCACCTAAATTCTGCCTCATAACAGATCAATGTCAGCATTACATCCTCATAGAAGTGTGACCCCTACCATGAACTGCACATGTGAGGGATCTAGGCTGTGTGGTCCTTATGAATAGAATGCCTGATGACCTGAGGTGGAGCTGGTGATGCTAGCACTGGGAGCAGCTGCAAATAATGCATTATGGTGAGTTGTATAACTATTTCATTACATATTACAATGTAATAATAACAGAAATAAAGTGCACAATAAATGTAATGTGTTTGGGACCAGCAGGTGGCGTGGTGGTTAGGGTGCTGGATTCCCACATGCCCGCAGCTTGAGTCCCGGACCTGGTGGCTTGCTTTCTCACTTTCCCTTTCTCTCTGTCTTGGTCTGATCAAATTTAAAAAATAATAATAATAGCCAATAAAATGAAATAAATAATTCTTTAAAAAAATGTAATGTGTTTGAATCATCCTGAAACCAACCCCCACACTCCAGTCTATGCAAAAATTGTCTTCCATGGAACTAGTCCCTGGTGCCAGAAAGGTTGGGGACTATTGATTTAAAGATTAAATATCTCTAATTTCCTAAGCAGGAGGAACCTAAATCTAGGAGAATATCATTTGTAAGTGGCATATCAGAAGCCTTAGAGTTCTACCAAAGTAGTTTTGAAATTAAGGTTAATTTATAACTTTCACATTACTTGTAGACTCTATTTAAATTCCATAAAATATAGTTTCTTACTAGGTTCTGCAACATTTGTGTGAGCTTAATTTAAAAGACGTTTGAAGACATGAGATAATTAGAAGCAAAACATCTCTCCAGACAATGTGCAAGAGAATAATGAGACTGGCTAAAGGCTTACTTCAGGAGTGGAGCTCGATGTTGTTATTGTCTTATAATGAAACTGATTGGCAATCGACAGAAAGCCCGGGCTGAAGTGCAGGGGAAAATGATCAAAAGTAGGAAGATTATGAATCTGGGAAATATTATGCATCTGGGAAACTTCTAAATAGCATTTTTGCTCATCAAAGTCCAAGGAGTGCAGACCGCATTATAAACAACCATTCACTCATACCTTCGGTACTTCCTAAAAAGCTTTCTGATTTCCTTTCTGGCTTGATGCTTTCTTCCCCTTTTCTCTTCTTTTCATCAGCTTTTTGATCCTTGACATTTGTCTCCCTTTAAAAAAAATATTTTAGGTGTCAACTCATATGCATACTAGCCAAGGAAAGAGGATTGCACTCCAAAGAAAATGTGCAATAGCTGGTATGGACAAAGGGTTCTCGATCAGCCAGGCATTGGTTTACAGGCTATGATACTTCAATATATTAATTCTCACAACAACTATAAGAGGTTGTTACCTCTTCCATCCCTCTTAAGTAATGAGGAAATGGGGCACAGAGAAATGAATCACATACCAAGTCCTAGAGCTGAGATCTGACCCAGGCATCCTGCCTCAGGCTCAGCTTTAACCACCTGGCAATATTGTCTCGAAGAGGAAAAAAAAAGTACTTATGTTGGTATCCTTTTCAAAAGCACTATTTATTTTATTACCTTATCTCTACTTCCTGAAACCCTCCAAAATGAAATATCTAAGTAATCTAAGTATTTCACAATTTAAGATCTCACTTGTCAAACCGTTATGCAGAAACCATCACCCAAACTCAACTATAAACTCGAAGACAGAAACGTGTCCCTCTTTGTGGCTCCACCCCTAGCACAGTTCTTGCCTCACCATCAGTGCTCAATAGATTCTGGCTAAAGCAAAATAACACTGTTTGGGGATTATTCTTCTGTTTTCATTTGGTGGATAGTCAAAATTTAAAAAAGAAAAAAAAGGGGGAATCAGCAGTTAGCGTAATGGCTATGTCGCTGGATTCCCACGTGGTGGACCGCGGTTCGCGTCCCGGACCCGGTGGCTTAAAACTCACGCCGGGCGCGTGTGCGTGCATGCCCAAGATCCCGAGAGGAGACTGGAGGAGAAGGGATTGCAGCGTGACCATCCCCCCTGGGGGGTGATTTCTCGCTTTCTGTCTCTATGTCTCTCTCTGTCTGTCTGGCGAGCGCCCGCTCCCTATAGCGAAAATCTCTCAAAAAAAAAAAAAAAAAAAAAAAAAAAAAAAAAAAAAAAAAAAAAAAAAAAAAAAAAAAAAAAAAGACAAAAAGGAATATGAGAGAGATAATAAATTTAGCTAGGGTGAAAAAGGGTTTTCTCTCCTAATCTCTCACCAATAATAGAATCACAGTCTCAAGAGCTGGGAGAAGAGGGGTAGGCAGGTGGCAGTGGTGGTTAAGGGCATCGGTCTCCACATGGCCGACCACGGTTTGAGTCCCAGACCTGGCTGCATGTTTTCTCACTTTCTTTCCCTCTCCCTCACTCTGTCCCTCTCTGGTCAAATTTAAATAAACAAAGTTAAATCAAAAATAATAATTCTTTAAAAAATACAGAGCTGGAGAAGGGAGCCAGCAGATAGTGTAATGTTTGTCAGTGGACTCCCATGTAGTTGACCATGGTTTGAGTCACAGACCTGGAGGCTTAAATTCATGCTGGGCATGTGTGTGTGTGTGTGTGTATGCGCATGTGCGTGCACGTGCGTGCCCAAGATTCCAAGAGGAGGATGGAGGAAAAGGGATTGCAGTGTGGCCTTCCCCTGGGGGGTGATTTCTCACTGCCTGTCTATCTGGTAAGTACACATGCCTTATAGTAAAAAAAAAAAAAAACAAAAAAAAACTCTCTAAAGAAAAAAAGAGTTGGAGAAGGTCTTTGGGTTTGTGTCTACCTCTGTCCAAATGTCCAAGACCAAAGAGTCATCTGGCCTCTACTGGAGGAGCAGTAGCTGCTATTAAAGTACGTGTAAAGGCAGCTGTTCCCCCACCAGATAGCTGTGGTTATTAGAAAGTTTGTGCTTTCCTGAATTAAGATACTCTAATTACTAGTCACTAGCTCTGTCCTTTGGGGCCTGGGAAAGCAAGCTGACTCCCTTCACTTTACAGTATTTCAGGTATTCGAAGGCAGCTATCGAATTCTCCACCCATCTGCTCTTTTCAGGCTCAGCCTCCCCAGCTCCATCAGCTGTTCTCATGTGACATAGTTTCCAGACCTCTGACTTCTGTGGCCACCCTCCTCCGCTTGTTCATATGTCTTTTAAAATGTGACACCCAGAAAGAGCCCTCTATTGTGTCCTTGGAGTGCTCTAGGCAGCACACTACCTGCCTCGCGTATTACCTTCATTTGGAAAGTACATTTCTGTCTATCCAGCATTAAAGCTGCACTGATCTTTTCAGCAACTGCTTCGGACTGAGGTCTCACAGTGTTGTCCGTGCTTTCTTCAAGAAAAATTTCTTAAATTCTTACCATTTTTCAAAATACATGTTAAATGTCTGACATACAAAAATAAGACATACCTCCTGCCCTCAGTGAAGTTTTATTCCTGCCCTCAATGAAATTATACTGAGTTGGAGCTTCTAATCAAAAACTCTCCAATCAGGGAACCAGCAGATGGTGTAATGGTTACTACCATGTAATCAACTGGGATTCGAGTCCCAGACCTGGCAGACTCAATCTCATGCTGGGTACGTGTGCATGTGTGCCCAAAATCCCAGGAGGAGAATGAAAGAGAAGGGACTGCAGCATGGCCATCCCAAGAAGGATTTCTCATTTTCTCTCTCTCTCTGTTGCTCTCTGTTTTTCCAGTGAGCACACATACCCTATAACAAAAATCTCTCCAGGAAAAAAAAAAATCCCAATGGGGCCAGGTTGCCTGTATTCTACAAGAATGCTTTGGGATGTAAAACTTTTTGATCTCTTACCTTTATCCTTTAGAGAAGGTACCATGTCAAGACCATTACCATTTTGAATTCTCAGTCCATCATCCATCACATGAGCATTCATTCCTAGACTGGTGTTATCTAGGAATTTGATACTTCCTGATTTAATTCAATGACATGAAAATGCTGAAGGTGGCAGAGCCAACACACAGCAATCTAAGACTTCTCATCTTATTCCGATACCCATCTGCTAATCAATATCTCGAGCAGTGTGAGTGTTTCGAGGACCAGAAGCAAATGGAGAATGCAGACGGAGTCAGGGCTGGCTTATCTACAGTGTCATGCCATCACCAGATGTGCATTCTCCAAGGAGTCTAAGATCTAGCCCCACTTCCAGAAAAAGAAGAACATGATCCCCTCATGGGGAAAAACCACCTTGCAGAGCCCTTGGCGAGGTCCTGGAGCTCCAACCTCTCCTCAGGCAGCTGCAGCCATCTTTCCAGGTCCTCATCGAGAGTAGAATGAGCTCTGTCCAAGGGCAAGTGAAGAGAATGGAAACAGTCATTTCTCCTCTTCCTTGACAAGGAAGCAAAACACGTTAGAATGAGGAGGGATTGTAAAATCTGTGCTTTCACTATATACATAAGAAAATGAGAGTGCACTGAGATTGTGTACACCAAAACAGTCTTTTAGACTCTTGACAAAAAGCCGTCAGACCCATGAGATCACTCCCTCCAAAAGTCCAATGCTAGACTCTGTCTCAATTCTAGGTCATTAAGTCAGTTTCTATCTGATGCTATTACTGTACATACTTTTCTACATTTTTTTAAAATAAAAGTATTATTTTCTTTATTCATTATAGAGCACAAGCGTGTGCATATGAGAGACAAAGAGGAGTACCCTCTACAGGGTCTGACCATGCTATGATCCCCTTCCTGCTTTTAGCCAGTTGTATTTTGAGTACTCCCACACATGCCAGTACCATGCATTTTTAAGCAGACCATGCCAGAAATTCAAACTGTGATCACTATGTGGTTCCCAGTCCTACAGTCCAACCTAGTACGCTACTCCCTGTGTCACAATGGCTAGGCCATCCTATACATTTTTCTGACTAAGAATTACCTCTGAAGCTAGAAGATACAGAGTGGTTTGTTGTTGTTTTAGAGAGATTTTTGCTATCGGTCCTGTGCGCTCACTGGAGAGACAGAGGAACAGAAAGAGAGAAATCACCCCTCGGGGAATGGCCATGCCACAATCCCTTCTCCATTCTCCTCTCAGAATTTTGGGCATGCATGCACATGTGCCCAGCATGAGTTTTAAGTTGCCAGGTCTGGGACTCGAACCGCGGTCAACTACGTGGGAGTCCAGCGACGTAACCAAGACTGAGAGTTCATAGCACTGAAATGACTGAGAATCCAAAGAGCATCTATCTGTCGCCAGTACTTTGGAAAAGAAGAGACAATTAACAGTAGGTAACTTTTGATCATGTGCAAAAAACTTTACGTTTATCCAACCAAATACTACTTGGCCTTCTTGAGCAACGCTTCTAGTGTCTTAAAAAATGGTGCAGATTTTTTTAAGAATTAATTTCATTTATTTTTATTATTTTTTAAATTTGACCAGAGAGACAGAGGGAGAGAGAAAGCAAGCCTCCAGGTCCAGGACTTGAACGGTGGTCAGCCATGTGGGAGTCCAGCATCCCAATCAGTGCCACCTGCCAGCCCCATGGTGCAGATTTTTACTGAAGGTGTTTTGAGGAGATGAAAGGAAGAGAGAAATCACCCCTCGGGGAATGGCCATGCCACAATCCCTTCTCCATTCTCCTCTCAGAATTTTGGGCATGCATGCACATGTGCCCAGCATGAGTTTTAAGTTGCCAGGTCTGGGACTCGAACCGCGGTCAACTACGTGGGAGTCCAGCGACGTAACCAAGACTGAGAGTTCATAGCACTGAAATGACTGAGAATCCAAAGAGCATCTATCTGTCGCCAGTACTTTGGAAAAGAAGAGACAATTAACAGTAGGTAACTTTTGATCATGTGCAAAAAACTTTACGTTTATCCAACCAAATACTACTTGGCCTTCTTGAGCAACGCTTCTAGTGTCTTAAAAAATGGTGCAGATTTTTTTAAGAATTAATTTCATTTATTTTTATTATTTTTTAAATTTGACCAGAGAGACAGAGGGAGAGAGAAAGCAAGCCTCCAGGTCCAGGACTTGAACGGTGGTCAGCCATGTGGGAGTCCAGCATCCCAATCAGTGCCACCTGCCAGCCCCATGGTGCAGATTTTTACTGAAGGTGTTTTGAGGAGATGAAAGGATGGAATTACAGCACACAATACAGACAAAAAGTTTCTTTTTTTTCTTTCTTTTTTTTTTGAGAGGTTTTTTGCTATAGGGTGTGTGAGCTCGCCGGAAAGACAGAGAGAGACAGACAGACAGAAAACGAGAAATCACCCCCCAGAGGGGATGGCCACTACGCAATCCCTTCTCCTCCATTCTCCTCTCGGGATCTTGGGCATGCACGCACATGAGCCTGGCGTGAATTTAAGCCACCAGGTCTGGGACTAGAACTGTGGTCAACTACATGGGAGTCCAGCGACATAGCCATTATGCTAGCTGTTGGTCCTTTCTTTTTTTTTTTCAAGAGAGAGATTTTTGCTATAGGGCCTGTGCACTTGTCAGAGAGACAGAGAGAAAGTGAGAAATCACCTGCCAGGGGGATGCCCATACCACAATCCCTTCTTCTCCATTCTCTCTGGATTTTGGGCATGCATGCACACATGCCTGCCATGAGTTTTAAGCCACCAGGTCTGGGACTCAAACTAACAGTTGACTACATGGGAGTTCAGTGATGTAACTGTGATGCCATCTGCTGGTCCCAAGACAAAAGGTTTCTAAAACTTCTCTTAAAATTTTTTTAGGGATCTGGCAGGTGGCATGGTGGTGAAGGTGGCCAGACCCCCACATGGCTGACCATGGTTTGAGTCCTGGACCTGGCAGCTTGCTTTCTCATTTTTTTTCTCTCTCTCTGTCTCTCTATGGTCAACTTCAATAAAATAAAATAATGACAATGAATAAAATAAATTAAATAATTCTTAAAAAATCGTTTTTACGGGGGCTGGAAGGTGGCACGGAGGTTGAGGACGCTGGATTCCCATATGGCTGGCTGCAGTTCAAGTCCCGTACCTGGTGGCTTGCTTCTTGCTTTCCCTTTCTCTCTCTCTGTCTCTGGTTAAGTTAAAAAATAATAACAAATGGAATTAAATAAATAAATAATTCTTTTAAAAATATATCCAATAAAATAAATAAATAAATCAGTTTAGTTAGGGTTGGGAGCCAGCAGGTGGTGTGGGGTTGAGGCACTGAATTCACATGTGACTGGCTATGATTCAAGTCCTCGACCCGGCAGCTTGAGAATCATACCAGGCACATATGCATGCATGCCCCAAATCCCAAGAGAACAGAGGAGAAGGGACTGCAGTGTGGCCATTCTCCTGGGCGGGTGATTTCTCACTTTCCTTCTCTTTCTGTTTCTCTCCAGGAAGTGCATGTGTCCTATGGCAAAATATATATATATATATAAAAATATAATTTGTTAGGCTAGCCCCATAGTACAGCAGTTGAACTGTGTGCATGGGGAACTCAATCCTGCATGACTAACCATAGTTTGAATCCTGGCCCTGGAAGCTTGAAAAACGCTCTAGGTGCTTGAGTGACTGAGTACATGATCCTGACAGGATAGAAAAATGAACGAAAAAGGACTGTGGTGTGGCCAGGCCTCGCTGAGGGGTAGTTTCTCTTTCCTTAGAGGATATATACACCCTGGCAATTAAAAAAGAATTGTCTTCCCCTATTTGCCTTGTTGTTTCCTATGTCTCCCCCCCAAAACCCTCTTAGCACTTTCCTCTCAAGTCACAGGGTTCTAGTCTCCTCCTCTATTTCCCAGATCCCTCCTTTCCAGCTCTCTCTTCCCTTCTTTATGGAAAATAACAGCCCTTTAAGAGTGTGATACTGGATTTACTACCCCAAAGTTATTTATGACACTCTCCTCCCTTATCATGTTCTTGTACAGCAAACAGAGAGATAAAAACTCCATTTCTCGTCTCCCTCATATCTGAGCATGGTCATGCCTCACAGTTTGGCCAATGACATGTAAGTGGACCCTTCCT